TTTGTAAGCATTAGCACAAACATGTAAATGTGTATGTATGCTTTGAGCAGTTTGCCTTTCCCATGGTCACCACGTATGAAAATTAAATGCTGTAACAGTTTGTGTTAAGAATGGGAATGTTATCGGAACTGGGGTGAATGGAAGAAGGAACAGGGCAGACTTCTGGTACCTTGTTTCCCTGTGATACTGGTCCAGGCAAAAGCTGGAGGGTTGAGAAGATGTCCTATTTGTTTTGTTTGAAAGAATGCTAATTGACATATTTAAAGCAGAGTAGACATCAGTGACATGAAGGGAAGAAGAAAACTGTGAATCCTGTTCTGGTGCCCTTTCTCTGTCAAGGCTGCTTAAACAACAAAACCAACAACAAAATCCTTTGTGCTCTGACACGGACATTAAGCTCCCTTTTGCCCTGGCTTGAAAAGCAAAAAGACTGATTTGGTATAAAATACTTTAAGGAAAGGAGTGAGTACTCTGATTCTGAAATATCTCTAAGTGAGCACAGAGCACAGCAGAGGAAGTGCTTAGGGAAAAATTGTTCATCTGGGGTTTTCGAGTCAGTTAAGAACTTGTCAGTACTGCTTTATATATACACACAAAGCTCAGAAGTCCTGTGTTTTCCTGATTGTATTTCAGGATGTGAAATATTACACTTCATGTTGTCCCAATCACTGCTATGCTTGTCAGTAAAATACTGTACCTTGCATTCCCGTGCTGTGCTGGCTTGAATCACACAGAAGGAAATCTTGCTCTGTGAATAATCTACAGCATATTGCCACAGAAGAAACATTGAAATGCCCCCAGGAATCCTGATGCTCTCCCTGCTAACATGGTGCACAGAGTTCTCATGGCAGCTCAAAGCAAGGTTGGGTGGGAGGTTTTCACACTACCTAAATACAGGGCTCAAAAAGTTATAAAAAGCTCTTGAGAGGAAGCTGTGTTCTGATCTCTGGCAGTTTTGATATGCTGCTGCTAGTGCTTTCATATTGTTGCGGTGAAGGTGAAATTAGGTGGCTGTGCTATAATTCCTTCTCACACAAGTCTAATGTGTCCACACATGGACAGACACTGGTTTATGCATGTCCCACGTTAACCAACTTTCTACTGCTTGGCCCATGGCTGTCATACTTCTGGTTGAAGACTGGTGACAACTTATTTAAGAATGTCAGCTGAAATGAAAAATTCAGTATGTGAAGTAACATCTGATCAGTCTAAGCTCCTCTCACTCCCACGCTTTTTCTAGTATTTGCATTAGTATTTACAGCAGCACCCTTTCACTGAAATGCTGTGCTGTATGATGCTGTATCCCTAGCAACAAAGAATCATTTCCTCTGTGCAGGCGAGACTGGAAGATATGTGCAGCTGGCAACACTTATCAATCCACTTCTGAAAACTGCATGTGAACTTTGCAAGTAGGGTAATAGTACAAGTACTTCTGCGCATTCTACTCTTAAATATATATAATCTGTATAGAAGAGAAATCTGAACACATTTGTTTGATGTTTGTGAATAGAAGGCCTATGACTGAGAAAGTACTACTATGCAAGCTTTTTTTGTAAGGCTGCAATACTCCAGAGGAATGTTTTAATATTCTCCTGCAAATTCTTGTTTAAAAAAAAAAGTATCAAGATTTTACAAGCTCTGTCCCAGATCCGGTGACCATTTATAGTCTTCTTAGATACTGTGGAGAATTGAGACTGTTTTTCTCTGTAGAGTGTTTTGTAGATAATGAGGCAAACTTCCACCTTTTTATTACTTATTGAAATTAATTTAGTGGATGTGAATGAAATTTTCCAGACTTAACTGAGATGTTGTGTATGCCGTCTTACCCTCTCCCCATGTGCTTCAGATGTGAAGAGTTTTTCTTTCTGGTTACAAGCGAGCAGAACAAGACTGTCTTGAAGACATGTGCAGAAGGGCTGCAAGATAAGCAGGATGTGCAACCTGTTTTATTTCTGGTTGTAACAGCAAAAATACAGGGGGATTTTTGCTAAGCACTTTATAAACTTTTTTTTTTTTTGGCAATGCAGGAGTTGTTTTGTAATTGTCAAGAAAATCCAAAGTTAATCCTGGTGAGAGGTGTAAGTCTCCTCATGTGCATCTGTCTTCTGCCAGTGGGGATTACTGAGAACATTCCTGTGTGCTTCATCCCCATAGAAGGCTGTGTTCGTGCAAGGGGGGGCCTTTCTAGGGCATGATTGTAGAGGGTTGGGTCAGGGTCTGCCTAGCTCAGTATTTTGTCTCAAGTAATGCAAGTGGAGTTTGTTCAAGGAAAGAGGCATTTAAGTAACAAAGCATGCATACAGTGATTTTTCCTGATTATAATCTCTCAATGAGCAACAGTGTAAAAACTCAGCCAGAAGCTGTATCAAAATCACTTTTCAGTAGCTGTGGATCGTACATTTATTTAGGTAATCTTTTCTTCTGAATGCCGTTAAGCTTTTGATTTCCACAGCATCCTGTGATAAAGAGTTCGTGCTTCCATCCTGAACCTTTTTCTCCTAATAGATCTTGCCCATTGTTCCCATTTCATCAGCTGCTCAAAAGGCAACTGGACAGAGATTTCTGTTATGGGATATGGAGACCAGCATGTAATTCTTTGATCCTCATTAGAACTCTGAGAACTCAATTTCCTGGTTTTTCTTGACTGGCTTGCCAGAAGCTTGTCGATCTCAGTTTTTTAGATGCTTCTGCTTAGGTTCTGCTTAACTCGGCCTCACCTGAGACCCATGTAGTGTACTGTAAGTCACCTTTTGCAACCCATGAGGTAATCTTACCCTTAAGTCTCAACTTCTGGTGAAGGATCAGGACACTTGACCAGATTAAATTTATCAAAGCTAGTGGATCTGAGACAGACTTGCAGCTGATGTGTATGGCTGCGAAGTTACATTCGCATGCCCTGATCAAATTCTTTCATTCTAGTTTTCCACACTTATTTTGTTCAAAACCATATTAAGCTATTCACAAAACATAATGTTTTGTACCTCTCTACGAATAACGATTTGCCACTTCCAAATGCAGCTTATTGATTTTTTTATTATAATATAGCTTTTCCCCCCTCACTTCTCTTCTTTCAACCTTGGCGGCTTTGGCTGTGTAAGAAAGAAGTGAGCCTGTGACTGCAAAAAAGAGCTTAACTGTATTTGTCTGAAGGTGATTTGGAAACTTGTGCAGCTTTATCTCAAGTTTTGAACAATCACTGCAATCAGGAGGATTACACACGCTCTTCTGGCAAGCTTTATGACCATAGAAAAAGCAGTCTCAGTACAGGTAAAATGACCTTTTTGGCTCACGTAGTGTATCACAGGAGGCTGTGCTGACGTTCTCAAATCCATCTCTTGTACTTTATAGACAACTAAGGCTGCTGAAAAACAGACTTTCTTGACCAGCAGTTCTGTTTCTCCATCTAGGAAAAATTTCCATTTATCTTGTATTAAATACAGCCAAGCCTGTGACAGTTCCCTTTGAGGAATACTGACTTGTAGCATGGTTTAAATTTACAGTCATGAGTCTTCAGATCAAAAAGGAGAGTTTCATTCCCTGTTAGTATATGTGGGCTTCTGGATGAGCTGGCTAGGTACAGTATGCCTGGTCCTTTGGTCAGCTGGCAAAGTACACTTGGAGGAGAAAGTCATGGAGATGCAAGGTGTGTTAGGGAACTTCAGGGTATTGCAGTGAGCATATTCAACTGGAGATTCAGTTATCCTTTACAGACATTCTTGTAGTGTAAAGCTGAAATTGCCACTTAGAAAGTGTGTAAAAGGAAAAGGAATCTTGCTTTGAAGCTGTTGAAATCACTTCTGGGAAAGCTTTTTATATTCCTGCCTCCTCCCACTTCTCAACAGAAAAACACTTATGTCCTGTTTTGCAAAAGAAAAATCATTGGGATACTTAAGTTTACACAAATTGTAAGAGAAAGTGTACTATGTGCCAAAATAAAGCTCTACACTGCGGTGTGGAGAAACCACAAAGCAAACCAGAGTTTGATGTTTGAGCAATGTTCTGTTACATGCCCTGATTCTAGAGTGAATGTATTTTTCTTTTTAGCACTTAGGTTTTAAAAATCAGAGATGGAAGTTGGACAGATGCACATTTAGAGATGTGCTTGGACACCTACTATATATTTTTTAAACATTCTGCATGACTGGTACTGTACCATGCCAAATATGCAGCAGTGACGTTGGGAGACAGTGCTGCTTCTGTCTGTTCTGCTTTTTTCACTGATCGTTAGCGTGGGTTTTGTATGGAAACCCTGTAGTATTTGGAGGGAAACGATGCACCCTCAGTTATTCAGTGGAATGGAGAATACAGGGATATAACAAAATTGTAGGTGCTGTTCCCTTTTCTATCGTGGGGGAGAGACACTGTCTTTTGATCTTGATGCTTTTGAGTCCCTTGGAGGAGAAAGGGACTGTACCTTCCTTTACAAAATATGGAAGCATTCAATATCGGGTTATAAAATGTTGGCTTCAGGGTTTTTAAAAATTCTTACTCTTTTAGACCAGTATTATTTTTATATTTTTTTTTTTCCCCCAGAAATCATGGGTTATATTCTGCTTAAACAGCTTTCTATGTTTATGTGGACAACATTGCTAAAACTAATGGTACATGTGTATTTAAGACTTTCTTTTAATCACTTTCTCTCACTCGTAGAGAGCTGCAAGGACAGTTGTTTTGTGCAGGTGGTGGTAATACAACAGTAAAATAATGTAATGCTTGACTGTGTAGTTTGCTTTGAGTCTGATAAACTCAAAAAGAACCTTACTTGCTTGATGCTGAGAAGGTGACATTTATTGCACCTAGTATTTCTGTGTGGAACATCTGTGAATGTGCTGTGCAAGTTTTAAATTCTTCCAGTTACATACTTAAAAACTCCCAGTAAGCTCCCACAGTCTTGATAAAATTGATTATCCAACAGAGAGGATGAGTCAATATGTATGTTTAAAAAAAAAAATCCATAAATTTATAGTTCCTACTCTGATATATTTTTTTTTCCCCTTTAGTTCCTTGGCATAGCATTTCTTGGGATTGGACTGTGGGCATGGAATGAGAAGGTAAGTTGAATATAGCACCACACTCCCATGTTTTTCCTCTTTCTTTTTCTGATGTAATATTGGAATAGTAATATGTTGCACGTATTATGTATCCACACACAGTTTCTACTGGAAAAAAAAAATCAAGCTTCTTTGTCAAATAAAACCATGGCTTGACTCACCTATAGGAAGATCCTCGGCATCTTTCCCGAGAATGCCTTGGCAAGAAGTCATGGCTGACACTTGCACGTAAAATGACTGTTTCATTCCATGCACGCTCAGACTGCAGCTTGGATACTAGAACACTCTACTGAAGGCAGTATGGGCAGTGTGTCGCTGCTGCATGTGTACCCAGGAATGGAGAGGGAGCCTACATGTCTCAGAGGGCAGCTTCCTGAAAATAAGCCTCCTTGGCTTTGCCTTAACATAGCATGCTAATTGCTGTTGCTCTTAAAACAAAAAGACAAAAACCAAAACAAAACCAAAATGCACCCTGAAAACCAAGCAAGCCTGAGACAGAATAATTGTTTTTTCATGTACAAATAAGACTGTCCACTGGAACACTCTCTGTTGCAAGACTGTAAAATCAACTTGGAAATGGGAAGAAAGGGGGGCCGGGAAAGAGAACATTTGTGAACTAGAGCGTAAGCTTTAGCTGACTTGTTGCAGAAGTTGGGAGGAAGATAAAGTATCAAGACATAATATACCAAACAAGTCAGTATGTGTTGGGTTACTGGATGAAGAGTTTGGCTCACTAAAAGAACAACAGCTAAAATTAAAGCCAGAGTTTCCTTTTCTTCTTTGTTTAAAAGATTGAAAATAATAAAACCTGGCTGATAACAATGGTACTATGATATTCAGTTACATAATGTGTTTTTTCTTCTTGTAATGGAAAACACGGAGTTACAAATTGATGTTCACTTAAGGCATAATAACTAGCACTTGTAGCAGAACAAATAACACATTGGAAGCATTGGAGTTTTGTCACTTAGAAATTTAGGACAAATTTTGCCAGTTCAGAACTGTTAACTAATTCTGATTGATGTGTGCATGTGCCTTGGATGGGATATTAACTCACACTATATACACCCGTATATCTGTCTGTTTACATACTGTATGATGCTCGTGTTGGATGGCTTGAATAGGCTTGGAAAAAAGGTGCTGTGATCTTTTTCATTCAGCAAAGATGTAAAAACATGGTGGTTTTTAATACCCCAAGCATACTCGCAGACGTTGTACCTATGTCTAAGGTCCAGAGAAGAACTTTATTTTGGAATGGCTTTCTAGAAGAGATTTTAACATTTTTGAATGATTTAATGAGTTAACACAAATTATTTGTCTTTAGAATGAATGAGCAGGTAAAGGGAAAACAGCTATAGCCTAGTGTTTGAAGTCTAAAATATACCAGTCCTACAGCTTGAGGGTGTTCTGGCAGAATAATGGTTTGTTAGGTTTTACATATTTTCTATATTAGAAAGCCCCCCCCCCCCAGGAAAAATGCATTCAGTTCATAATTGCTAATAGCCAGAAGCCAAAGCTCATGTTTTTGCTTGAGACTTGGACATCAGTTACCAAATCATCTTAAACCATTTTTAATCATATCCTGAAAGTGGGAGAAAATGCTGTGTTGTTTATAAGACAAGCAAATAAAACCACCTAGAGCTGTTTAATATGAATTAGTTGAGGCTCCATATGTAGTAGATTTTTCTATAGATATTAATAAACCAAATACTGTTTCTTGTTTTAAAGCATGGGTCTTTACTTGTATCTCTCCCCAGCTTCTCTGACTAGTTCACGGTTGTATGAACCAAAATGTAGTACAGGTATAGCTGAACTGCAGAGCTCTTAAGCACAGATGGACTTGATTTTTAAAAATGGACTTGTGTCAAGCCCATTTGAGACCTTTCTATCACTCAGCTCTCTAGAGGACAGGCAATGGCCAGAAGCTGCAGTCAGCAAGATCAAGTTCCAGATACTCATAGGCTCCATGCAACTACCTTAGTGTGGGGCAGATCAGTTACATCCCAGACAGAGTTGCTCTTGCTGCATCTGGGGAGTTGGAGGCAAAGGCCAAGTAGGTGAAGCCCAAAACTTGAGAGATCAGTAACCTAACTGAGAAGCGTTTCTCTTTCTAGACTGCTTCTTGCCCAAGGCTAGCCGGGATATCCCTTAGGCATTGTGGGCTCGTGTAATGGTGCACTTTAAGACAGCAAAGCAGCTTTGCGGAGAAGGACCTGGAGGTCCTGATATGCACCAAGTTGAATATAAGCCATCAGTGTGCCCCTGTGTCAAAGAAGGCTAGCAGTGTCCTGGGCTGTATTAGGAGTGTGGCTAGCAGGTTGAGCTACTCAGCTCCAGTGAGGCCACACCTGGGCCAGTTGTGGGCTCCCCAGTATAGGAGAGACACTGACATAATGGAGAGTCTGGCAAAGTGCTACCACAAGGGGTAACGGCTTTAAGATGAAAGATGGTAAACTTATATTAGATATTAGGAGGAAGTTTTTTACAGTGAGGGTGGTGAGGCACTGGAACAGGTTGCCCAGAGAAGCTGTGGATGCCCCATCCCTGGAGGTGTTCAAGGCCAGGCTGGATGAGGCTTTGAGCAGCCTGGGCTGGTGGGAGGTGTCCCTGCCCATGGAACGGGTGTAGAACTAGAAGATCTTTAAGGTCCATTCCAGCCCAAACCATTCTATGATTCTGTGAACTTCCCTCTGAACGTCAGGAAACACTGTTTTACTGTGAGGGTGACTGAACATTGCCATGGTTTGCCCAGAGATGATGTAGAGTCTCCCTCTTTGGAGATATTTGAAAGCAGTCTCAATGTGATCTGAGGCAGCCAGGTCTAGGTGACCAGAAGACTTCCAGAGGTCCCTTCCAACCTCAGTCATTCTATGAAGACTGCTGCTGTCCCAATGAACTGTCTTTATCAAAGCTGAACTTGGTACTGCTATTGCATAATGTGTAAACATAAATTTTGTAAGTGTTTTTTTTTTCAGGATTGGCTCTTCAGAAGGACTCCTCTACTGTAGACTGATTTGGTGGTAGGGAGGATTTCAATTTACTTCTGTCTTGAATTGTGTGGCTTTATATCTAGCTATTTTGATTTATAGCCCAGCCATCAACTTGTATATACTTGTGCTGCTTTTAAAAAGATAGTGTACCTGGCAACATTAAAAATGCAGGATGGAAAGAAGTAATCTGTTTTTTACAGGAGTCTTGTTTGCTGCCAGCTAAAAACAGTTTGGGGTAGATTTGTGGGTATAGTGGCTAGTTTCTCTTTCTTTCTAAGTTGGCTTGAATTCTCTCCTTTAAACTTTGTTGTAAAGAAGAAAAAAAGCTCACTATACAGTCTCATGACCTTCCTTACAGGGTTTGCAGGGAGGCAAGAGAGCTCATTTGTCAAATAGGCAATAGAATTGGCCTGACAGCCAGTCAGCCAGCCCTAAACAAAAACTGGGCAATTAGCATTCTGAGTCATGAACCTGAAAGAGAGCTGTGGGGTGGGGTGGGGGCAATAAACTCAGAGGATGAATAAAGCTATCTATACATGGATGCACTATATAGCTCACAGTCTCGCAGTGTTTTCAGGCATGCTAGACTTGGGCTTGTACCATGAAAACAATTCATCCAGGGCAGCTGATTTCCACCCCCCACACACCCCCGCCAACCGTGGCACGAACATTGTTAACCTACAAAGAGTCTGTACTAAGCCCAAGCAACTTACGTGTAGCAGTGGGATCAAAGAGTGAACTCCGGTAGGTGGTGAGGAAGAATCGCTTTATTGCTCTTTTCCAACTACTTTTATAGTCTTTTACTAATGTGAATACGTCATCTACAAAACCTTTTATTTGGCTATTAACTAAAAACACACTGTTTTCTAGGGAACTTGTTCCCTTGTTTACATCTGGATCTTTCCATTGTTTACATTCCAGTCAGTTCTCCTTCAGGCTGTGTCAGGTCCTCCATCACCTCCTCTTCCATTTTGCTTAAGGGCAAAGCCTTCTTCTTCCGGTCTCTTAAGGGAAAAGCTTCATGTCCCAGAAGTCAAATCCTAATTCAGCATCTTCTCGTTCCCCAACACTTACGCTAACCTTGCTCAGCAGCAGGGGAAAAATGTTTATATTTCACCTGCTTTTTTTTTAACCACTTCAAGAAATTTCTTCATTGACTTTATAAAAATAAAGTAGACTTGTACAAAATGTCTATTTCCCTCCTTGGTTGTATATATTAGATAATGGGGTCTTAAGGCTCCTTGGGAGTGTTCATGGTATGATGCCAGTAGGTATTTGGAAAAATAAGCTTCTTGGTTGTCTCACTGCCTGCAGATTTGTATTCAAGAGTAGTGAGACTAAGTGATGAATTGCTGTTACATCTTCTGAGACCTTATACGACTGTCCACGGAGAGGGAGTTTTTAGAAGGAAAGCAGGGTGGTTTGGGGGTATTCTTTAAGTTGGAGGTAGCAAATGTAGGGATACTGAAGTGGAGCAGAAAAATTTGCAGATCCTTGCAAAATTTGTTGATAGACTTAGTTCATGTATAAGGTTGACTGAAATGAAGAGAGAGAAGTGGAAGAGGTTGAGTATGTGCATAAGTTTGGTTTCTAGGCTTTTCTTGTTAGATCAGTGTTAACTAGAAGACATTGCAGCGCAGAAGTCAAGCTGTGCGTGGTTTTTAGTACCTGTATGGTACCTCTGTGTTCCAGCCTAGTATTCTTAGTGAGCAGTAGCTCTAAATCTGGATCTCAAGTTTTAAGCTAGACTTTTACATGTTGATATAAGGTGATTTAGGCCTGCTTTGGTGTTCTGGGACAGGCTAAAATCCCTACATAGAAACAGAAATTTGTCAGACCAAGTCTGTCTCTTTGCCCTGAAATGAAAATGACAGTTTTCAGGAGTAAATTCTCACTTCCTTTAGTGTCCCAGCGAGTGGCAGACATAAAGAGGGAATCATACACTAGTCACTCCATAATTGTTGTGCATATGTATCTATCACAGAGTTCTTTTAAAACAATTGCCAACAA